ATCATCATCATCATCAGCAGCAGCAGCAGCAGCAGCAGCACCAGCACCAGCAGCAGCACCAGCAGCACCAGCAGCACCAGTAGCACCAGCAGCACCAGCAACAGCACCACAACAGCAGCAACAGCAGCAGCATAAGCATCATCATGACCGTCATCATTATCAGTATAAATCGTCGGCAAAATACATATTTTTCTTATTTTGAACACTTTAACTCTAACAGACTACGACAGAAAAACATTTAATTCATAACCTACCAGTATTCGGCACAAAATCTGGACACAAGACCCCCCCCCAAAAAAAAAGAAGAAAAATATGGTAATAACGACCAACAAAAAGAGCAATCACTGCAAATAGCTATTTAAAAAAACAACAAAAAAACAACAACGAACATTACAACAGCAACATTAAATACAATAACAGCCACAACTATCACAGCAGCAACAACAACAAGAATAACAATAGAGATAGACAACAGTAACCAATATGATAACAGCAACAACAGCAAAAACAACAACAGCAGCAACTGCAGCGGTAACAGCAACAAAAATCAAAGTATGCCCAAAACGTCCCCACACCAAAGCGCCCACCTACCACCTACGACCTTATCCTGTGTTGAGACCAGAACAAAATACTTACCAAGATTCCTCAGAGGTGACACGCCTCCCCTCTTCCCGGGAACTTCTTCCTCATCCACCGTCACGTCATTCTCCTCCTCTTCCTCCTCCTCATCCTCCTCCTGGTCCGATTTATCCACCTCGATATCACTCTCCTCGTTCTCCGACCCGTCCTCACCCACCCTCGAGCCACGCTCGGAGCCCGACAGTCCGCCGCCATCTTGTTGTCTGGTCTGTGACGTCAGCAGCCCCCTCGAGTCGGAGCCCTCGCTGTGAGAGAGTGATAGCCTGGCGCTGTCCTCATGACGAGAGATCTTGGAGGGCGAGCAGTCGGAGGTTGAGTTCTGCATCGACAGACGTCTGTGGAAGTGGCGGGTTTCTTTTTTAAAATTTGTTTTTACTCCATCACACACAATATACATCCGATTGTAATGTCCGTCACCGATGGGATTTAAGCGTTTTTATTCATTACAAACATGTACATCCTAGTGTAATGTCTATCTCAGATAGGTACGAACTTAATCGCTATTGAGAAATGTCCAAGGAAGTGGCGGGTTTTTAAGGTTGTTTTAAATCCACCTTACACAGACGTATACATCCGATTATATTGTCCAACTCCAATAGAACCGAGCTTAATTGCTATTGACAAAGGTCTGTGGAAGTGGCCGTTTTAGTACTCGCATAAACAATCATAAACATGTGTCTCAGATTTAATGTCCATCTCCGAAAGGACCTAACCCAACGGCTACTGAGCAATGTCTGTGGAAGTGATGGGTTTGTTCTGGTTTTCTATGCAGTTGTTTTTAGTTGTTGGTGTTTTGGGGCTTTTTGGGGGGAAGGGGGGGGGGGACTTTTTTTAAAAAGTTGTTTGTATGGTTTTTTGTTTGCTTTTGTTCATTAAAAACATTTATTTTATTACCCTAAAACACAACCATATGCCCGGTCATAATGTTCATCTCCGACAGGACGAGACCCAACTGCTATTGGGAAAAATGTCTACGTGGAAATGTCGAGGATTGGGCCCCGAGTCCTCTGTGTAATTTTTTTTTAAAGGCAGTCTTGTCTAGACCTATGCTTATGTCTCTATAGATATACACACCAGAAACAACGATGAAAACGTTAAAAAATAAATAAATAAATTGCCTGTGCCTGTGCTGTCTGTTGTTCTCGTAATCATAACACATGGGGCTAAAATAGGTAAGATCTAGATCTAGGTCTAGCTGGCTTGACGGGGTGGACGTGGATCGACTTAAGTCGGTTCTACACCATGCAAAAACGTCGCACAATATCCTGTGTGTCTGTGTGTGTGTGTGTGTGTGTGTGTGTGTGTATGTGTGTGTGTGTGTATGTGTGTGTGTATGTGTGTGTGTGTATGTGTGTG